CTAGCTCTGTAATAGCTCTATATTAGCTGTGTATTAGCTTAGTATTAGCTCCTTGTTAGCTGTGTTTTAGCTCTGTGCTAGCTCTGTAATAGCTCAATATTAGAGGTGTATTAGCTTAGTATTAGCTCTGCATTAGCTGTGTATTAGGTGTGTGTTAGCTCACTGTTAACTCTGATTTAGCTGTGTTTTAGTTCTGTGTATTGAGACACAGCCAAAGTATATTAGCTTCAGCCATCTTTAGGTTTGACCATTCATCACTCTCAGAGTTTCAGTCAAATCTCTTGTCTATGAGATATTTTGCTAACAAACATAAGTAGAGGCTAAATCCTGTTTATTTCCCCTCTGTTGGAAGATATTTTGTCCTCCTCTCACCTGTGTGGATGCCGGCTCGCAGCTGCAGCCTCTCGTTGGGCATGTGAGGGATGACCACCTGTCTGACAGCCGCCAGTAGATCCAGCGCCATCTTGGCGATCTCGTCAGCGTGTCTGTCGCCATTTCTCTCCGGGAGGCCGCTCACCACCATGTAGGCATCTCCGATGGTCTCCACCTGGTTCGACAKGCCCAAATCAACAGAAGCCGCTTTAACAGAAACTCAGGAGCAGTTTGGAATAAAATCTCTGGTTGGGGTTTTACCGAGAGAAGCCAGATTTCAAAATAAAAGACCCGAGACCTTTGTGACCTTTCATATGACTGAGTCTAGACCAGGGGTGTCAAACTCCTGTCCTCGAGGGCCACTATCCTGCATGTTTTAGAGGTTTTCCAGCTCCAACACACCTGATTCAGTGATTGAATTAACTCTTCAAATTGGGCAGAAGCCTGTTAATCACCCAGCGATCAAAATCAGGTGTGTTGGAGCAAGAAAACCTCTAAAACATGCAGGATAGCGGCCCTCGAGGACAGGAGTTTGACACCCCTGGTCTAGTCCTTCAGTCCCTGTAGCAGACTGGACCAGTTCCTGCAGTCCAGAGTCTGGGAGTCGGTGTGTTACCTTGTACACGTCGTAGGAGTCGATGCGTGTGTCGAAGCACATGTACAGGCTGTTGAGCATCTCCACCACTTGCAGAGGAGTGCACGACGCAGAGATGGAGGTGAAGCCCACGATGTCGGAGAAGAAAATGGTCACCTGCAAAAGAAAAAAGAAAACGAGAAGCGGCTCCATCACGTTTTTAATTCTTGTTCAACCTCCTCCTTCTCTAAAGGCAGTTTTGCTGAAACATGAAGTCACACTTAAAGTTTGACTGGAATTTACACAAAGAGCTAAAACTTGTTAAAGCCAAAAGTAGCAAAATGCTAACTGACTGCCAAAAGCAGCCACATGTTGGCTAAAGCTACCAGAACACTGAAAACAAAGGTAACAAAATGCTAGCTAAAAACTCAAGGAGCAACAGCTAGCTAAAAGCAAAAGTCACATAAAGATAGCTAAAAGTAGCAGAACACTCCCTGAAAGCAAAGTTAACAAGTGGTTAGCTAAATGTAAGAGAAACAAAGCAAAAAGCTAAAACTAGAAAACTAATAGTTTCAAGCTACAGTAGCTAAAGGCTACCTTAGGATATCAAAGTCTGGCTAGAAGCTGAAAGTAAGATTTAGCCTAAAAGTATTAAAACATTAGCTGGAAGCTAAATTTAGCCAAAAAGTAGCTAAAAGTTACAAGAAAACTACTTGAAAGCAAAGTTAGTAAATGTAGGAAAAAGCTAAAACTAGCAAAATGATTGTTTATAGTTACAGTAGCTGAAGGCTACCTAAGATATCAAGGGCTGAAAGGTAAAAGTACATGAAGTCCAGCTAGAAGCTAAAAGTAGCAAAAAGATAGCTGAAYGATTAAAGTAACAAAAGACTAGCTAAAGGTGCTGGTAGTAAAAGGCTAGCTAGAAGCTAAAAAGTATAGCTAAAAGTAGACAAAAGCTAATAAAAACAAGAGGATAGGTGAAAGCTTAAAGCATAAAAATATWGCTAAAATTAGCAAAAGGCTGGCTAACAGCTAAAAGTGTAACAATCTTTTTAGAGTGGCACCTTATTGTGAAAGGTTCTGATATTTGTGTGGATTAGTTTTTTTTTTTTTTTTCAGTTGAACAGTTAAATCTCAGACGTCTTCATCAGGGACGTCTCACATTTTCCTTCCAGAACTCAAACCGAGTCCTTTAGCTACAAAAAGAGTGCTTTAGGTGCAGCTGCTTCAAACCTCTTTAATGAGCCAGACACATTTTCAGCCGTACCACTTGTTTTATCTCCACATGAATATGGAAAACAGGGCAATTACAGGTAATTACTCCAACAATAGCAACAAAGGCAACAAATGTTCAGTCAGGGGTCCGTGGGTCTCACACACGTCACCTTTTCATAGCCGCACCTTTATGAACCTCAGCAGCATCATCAGATCCAGGTTTGCTCCTGAATCTAAAATGTTTCTAATAATTTTATCTTTTTCATTTGAACTACTTTAAGCGCTGTTTGTAACATCTGTGCATGTCACAGCTGCACTGGGACCACCCCGCTTCCCCACAGCGTGGCCACTACAAACACCATCAAATGCTGCTAATGCAGTTTAACATGTCTACAACCTATCTTAGTGACTGGATGCTCCTGAAACTACCTGATAACACCATCACTCCACTCAGGATGCCACCGTCTGTTCTAGAAAAAAAAAGGAGTCATTTACTGACATTTTATTGGTTTGCACCAAAATACAATAAAATCGGACCCATTTCGTTCAGATGCCTAACATTTTGGGTCAGTAAGTGTACCTGGTTTGGAAACCCCGACAACAGTTCTGTTTGTTCAAGCTCGTTGTCAACAGATTGTTTCTGAACTTTCAGGACTTCTACATCTTTCAAAGACAGACCAACAAATGGTCCATTCTTTTTTTACTGATCCTGTCATAAACATAATGGTGCTCTGAATAAAAAGAAGAGATTTATCAAGAAAAGGAAACAAAAAAGCTAAATGCAGAACAGAAAGATTGAAAAACACAGGAGAACAAGACCACATGTAGAACCCGCCATGTTGGATTGAAGGTGGACTGAGAGGCTTAGAAAGACTGGGGCTGATCAGGAAAGTGGCTCAGTGTTAGCTCTGTACTAGCTCTATATTAGCTCAGTGTTAGCTCTGTACTAGCTCTATATTAGCTCAGTGTTAGCTCTGTAATAGCTCTATATCAGCTCAGTGTTAGCTCTGTGCTAGCTCTATATTAGCTCAGTGTTAGCTCTGTAATAGTTCTATATCAGCTCAGTGTTAGCTCTGTACTAGCTATAAATTAGCTCAGTGTTAGCTCTGTGCTAGCTCTATATTAGCTCAGTGTTAGCTCTGTAATAGTTCTATATCAGCTCAGTGTTAGCTCTGTACTAGCTCTATATTAGCTCAGTGTTAGCTCTGTACTAGCTCTATATTAGCTCAGTGTTAGCTCTGTACTAGCTCTATATTAGCTCAGTGTTAGCTCTGTTCTAGCTCTATATTAGCTCAGTGTTAGTTTAGTATTAGAGCTGTGTTAGCAGTGTTTTAGCTTTGTACTAGCTTACTATTAGCTCTGTGTTAGCTTACTATTAGCTCTGTATTAGCTTAGTATTAGCTCCATGTTAGCCATGTTTTAGCTCTGTGTTAGCTCCATATTAGCTGTGTATTAGGTGAGAACAGGTGAGACTCTTCCAATGGGAACAGGGAAATTTCCACTTCACAGGACTACTGGAACAGATGCGTTCATGTGGATTGTTGGAAAATGACGTCACTACCATTTACCAGTTCCGGGAACACGATGTAAATGAAATGCACCATAATAATGACAGGAAACAGGTGTATGTGGGCGGGGCAAGACTGAGGAATCAAACTGCAACAAGACCAGGAGTGAAACCTAAACATCCTGCTTACTGGCGGGAGTCTCTTACCCTGTCGTAGCTCTCGGCCTCAACATGTTTGTGCTTCCGGAGCTGCTTGGCGACCGACTTGGGCAACATTTGATGCAGCAGATCTTCAGCCAGCTGCCTCTGGTGCTTCAGGTCCTTGGTCTTCTCCTTCAGCTTCCAGGCGTAGTTCTGAATCCACTCCGTCATCTGCTTGAAGGAGAACATCACCGCCGGGTAGATGAGGCAGGCCAACGCCAGCAGGCAGATCCTCATGCTGAGGCTGGAGGCCATGGACCTGGACTCGGACAGGAGAGCCGAGGACCCGTGATCAAACAGGCACCGCTGGGTCTGAGTCAGGACCTGGATTCCTGTGTGAGACCCGGACAGGGTTTCAGTTCCCGCTCCAGAGACCTGCCATGAACTTGTGTCAAAAACACAAGGCTCCATGTCCAGGTTGATGTTCTCCAGCCAGCAGAGGTTCAGCCGTTCTGTCAGGACCCGGGCGAAGCTCAGGTAGCTCAGAGTCCGAGTCCACCTGAGCTGAAAGCCAGGTGAGGGTGTGGTCTGACGGGAGAACATCAGCTGATGGTTGAGCTCGATGAACACCACCAGAAGTCTGGCAGACAGAACGTCTCTCCACCACGAGTTCTGTTTGGCTTTCAGCAGAGAGTCCTCCACCGAGCCCCAGGAGTCCAGAAGTCCCCGTATGACCCGGGTCACAGCAGAACCAGAGCTGTTAGTCTGGAACGAGGAGTTTAAAACCTCCTGAATGTTCTTCACCATCTCCTGGCAAAATCCGGACACCTCGACGCGGCAGGGGAGACCACGTCCGTCCCTGAGACCCTCCACTTCACCGCAGAGATGATCCGCTGCAGGAAACACGGTCTCCAGAGTCTCCTCATCGCTCACGTTCGTGGCCAAGAACCGCCTCAGGTCCTGCAGCTCCTGGACCAGCTGCAGCAGAGTTCTGGTCCTGCAGGAGGTCAGCTCGTCGTAGGCGGCCTCGGTGGTCCGCAGCAGGTCCAGGCTGGAGCTGAGGTCCACGGACACGGAGCTGAGCAGAGCCAGGAAGGAGAAGACGCAGGCCGTCAGAATCCGGTGGACGGTTCGGCTGCTTCCAGACCTGGAAAAGACGGAACATCTGGAAGACAGAAAACATCTGGTGACATCTCACTCTCACAGTCTCACCTCCTCAGAGTGTCACTCTCAGTCTCACTCTCATACATTATCACTGTCATGGAGTCTCACCCTGTTTATATCTCACTCAGTCTCACTCTCGTGTACCACCCTTATACGATCTCACCCTCACAATCCCACTCACACAGGGTCTAACCCTGACTAGACCTCCCCCGAGTCACCCTCTTGGGGTCTCCCCTGCATGTCTCACCCTTAGAGTTTCACTCCTACAAAGTCTCACTCTCATATAATCTGACTCTCACTGTCTCACCATCACTAACAGTCTCATCCTGTCACGGTCTTACCTGCACGTCTCACTGTCACTGTCCGTGTCACGCAGTGTATCCGGAGCCACCTTCCTCCTCCTCCTCCTCTTTAAAAACCTCCTCTTCAGAGAGGAGGAGGACAGGTGGGTCCCGGAGGTGAAACGCTGCTTCTTTTTCATCAAGTCCAGTTCTGACATGAGACCCGTCCTGCAGCAGAACCAGCACCTCACACCTTCAGACAGAGACAGACAAGAGACCTGTGGTCTGTCCGCCAGCAGCACCGCACRCTTTTACAACTTCCTGTTTCCTGATGAATCTGCTTAATGAGCTGAAGGTAATTTACTGAAATCAAACTGATTCATGTCATCACAGCCACACGGCTGCATTATTTAACATTTAAAGAAGAGATTATGTGCACTTTTCTCACTCCATATATAAAACACTCCTTTTAAAAGCTAGTTTATTCTGAAAGTCTAGCTGTACAGGAAGTGCTCACACAGCTAAATTTAAGCCTTTTCTTGTTATCTAAACAGAAACAGTTAAAGTAACTGAAATYATGTCAGCTATCGTTCATGGGAGAGCTGTTTGAGATAAAACCTGATCATTTTGATGAGTTTTATTTACAATCAGAATTGTGTAAAGTATGGAAAAAAGTGTTTACATTGAGTGCGTACCCGCATGTTGATCAATTTAACAAACTACTGGAGTAAACATAACCAAAGTGCATTGTTAAATATAGCTCGAGACAAATTGTTTGACTRGTAAACGACTTTAAAAACACATAATAATGGCACTTCAGGACTTCCATACRCTGAGTTTATCCTAAACATCGTGGCGGCGGAAGAAGCGCGTTTTTATTTTTATTTATTTTTTCTTAGCTGTCCGGTTGTTTTCTGATCGTTTCATCAGAGCAGTCTGGACCAAACAAGGGGTGTCTGTCAGTCCGCTTCAGGTTTCCATTCAACCAAAACAAACTGATGCTAACGCGCTTCAGTAAAGCTAACATCCGTTCCGAGACACTGACGTGTAATTTTCAAAATAAGAGCACAGACGCTCGATGAGATGTCGCTCTACTCGGAAAATAGGCTTTTATTTTGAACCTTTAAAACCGGAAGTCRTCGTTCCCGCCTCCTTCAACTTGAATGGTGCAACTCTGTTGTTGTGGGTCAGGCTCGCAGCAGTTCAAACAGAGGACGGGAGGAATCCCGGTGCAGATGTGAACCAGTTACTAAGTTTTGTGATGTCGGGGCTCGCCTCCTTTTCTTTCACTCATTTGTCGTGAAACAGTTCTCACGCCGGCTCCTCGCCGATCCGGGCGGGCGGAGTTTAAAAGTAAATGAAAGCGTTTGTTTGGATTTGGAGCCGCCGAACAAAGAGCTTCTCTTCCCTCAACCATTGTTGTTACCGAGCGGGGCGCCTGAAACTGATTCCGACCTGGTTTCGGACGGGGAAAGTAAGCCAACTACTGACTTAAAGTCGAAGAAAAGTGTATTCATATATGCAACTGTTAGTGATTTWACATAAACAGCATGCTAATCGGGCTAAACTGATTAGATCCCACAGCGTTCGGCGTTAGTTTRCACAACACTGATTTAGCGCCTAACTTAGCTAATAAACTAGATTAATTTAACCCACAAGTCGTAAAACATCACTTTCTGTGATTTTAAACCAGAAAATAAACGTTTTAAAAGCCTTGATTTGCGTTATTGAAATTAGAAAAACTCTAAAAACAATCACAGTCTGAGCGGACTGCGCATTTATGAAGTACCAGACTTCATTCAGAAGTGGTGCAATTTCATTRTTTTTATTTGTTGCACCAAAAACACGAAACTTATAACTCGGCTTATAAATGTATGTAATATAATAAAGTCTATTATTTAAATCGGCTGAATATATTACTCCTAAAGAGCTTAATATTGCAAATGCAATGTGGAATGTAAATGTAACTTAAATATTCGGAAAACAATAGATTTGCAATCACAAATAAATTAATAATTTGTGAACATTAATGCAAGAAACAAATTCACTTTTTTGAATTGTATTTCTGTACATTAGAAAAACATCAGCAGCCTGAATTGACAGCTTTTAGGGAGCGCCAGACTTCGTTCGGAAACGTTATAAATTAATTTATTTATGTTTGTTGCACCAAAAATATAAAAGCTACAACTCGACTTGTAAAGGGATATGACACATTACGTTTGTTCTTTAAATCGGCTAAAATACTGTTTTAATTATCAGTTCATTTCAGTGTCAGATGCCATGCAGTGACACATGAGCACCAATCACAAACTTTCATTGTTTTCACTGAATATTATTTGACATTAATCCACGTTGTCTTTTTAAAATTGTTTGTTTTGTTTTTTTGCATGGGATATATAAATCATAGAAACACACATTAGTTGTAATTTATAACTTATAACACAAATGGATTCCAAAGTTGACTTTTTGATGTGAATGTTTAAATATAAAAGTGCAGCTAAAGGTAATTAATTCAATTCAATTTATTGTCATTATACTGAAACAGTGTTGTACAGTGCAACGAAATGCTTTTAAGCTAGATCTCCAGTGCAGTAACAAAGGATATAGTGCAGACAAGACATTAAATTTAATGACATTTAATTGATACACTGTTAATAGGTGCTTTTTATGTCTGAATGATTTATAGCTCAGAGTGAAGTTACTGTGTAGAAAAAGAAAAAGCAGATTTCTGAACTTTAAAATTTCTAATGTTCTGGTAAAAGCATCAAAACTGAGTGAGAAAACAAAACAGCTTATTGATCAAAATCTCCTTAAAGGATTAGAATAAAGTCTGAATCTGTCTCTGCCAAACTCAAATGTTTACACAACGTACCTCCCGCCTCGTGACGAACCTGAGGGTAACTCTGTGAACCGCAGCAATATTCAGCTGTTTGTTTGTTTGTTTGTGTTGACAGGTGAGGGGGCGGCGCCCTGTGCTCCAGTCATGACCTCTGGGAATGGGACCACCATCAGCAGCCAACACAATGGAGAGCGTAACCCCGCCCAGCAGGCCGTAGACACGCCCCACATCCTCACACACCTGATCGAAGGCTTCGTTATCCAGGAAGGAGCCGAACCCTTTCCTGTGAGTACCGCACTGAATCCTGGGTAAACGAGTCCCCCAGCCCTGATGGGCCGACGTGAAAACCGGGTCGGTTTGTTGTCTTTTAGTCATAGTTTACTTCTTTAAGGAAGAACGGTGTAAACAAATCAACTTCCTGTTTGATCGGAAGGCGTGGACGTCTGCTAACATCTTCAGTTAAAGGTCTATAACCGTGGTGGGCGGAGCTAAACAAAACGTTAGCTTCACTAACCACTACTCGAGTCTTAGCTTCGCTAATGCTAAACAGCTAAAAAATGTGTGGAAGCTAACGCTAACTGCTAAGACGACTGGTAGGATTGACACAAATGTGTTGTTAGTTTTTTATTGGTTTAGTGTGAAGGTGGGCGGGATCATTTGTGGCAAATCTGTCAACACGACCCTTCAGAATAAAAGCATTTCTTTGATCCAGATTGAATTTTTATAAATACAGTTTGAAGTTAGTCAAACAACAAATAGCAAATATTTTCACAATTTCACTACCATATTTTATAGTCAGATTTACTCCTTTTTGACGCTTAGTTTGGTTTAGCTGCTAAAGATGCTACATGCTACACGCTGTAAAAGCAGATAGTTTTTATTTAATTCGGGATAAAAGGCATAAGTTTTATACTTGTGGTTGTTTTAGTGGACTTAAAACTAGTGGAAGCTAATTTAGCGGAAGCTAATCAGTCCACTAACGGTTTCCAAAGTTAGCAAAAAAGCTAATCTGCTAAATGGGAAGCTAGTTCTGCTAATAGCAGATTAGTGGAACTGTGCGCTCTGCTGCTCTACAGTTTCGTTTCATGAGATATTTTGCTATCAGGTGGACAGACACACAGCTAATCAGCTTCAGCTAACATAAAGTTAGATACAACTCGGTCAAATTTAAAGATACTGAGCTAAAATGTGGTGTGGTAGTAGCTGAGGGTCCTCTCTAACRACCTGTGGCCAGGGAATCCAAACGTTCTGATCCAAATACCAGATTGGTGCAAAATTCTTGTTTTTTTTTCTAGTATTTTTAATATTTATATTAGATATATTTGTTCTGCAGTGGTCGGGAAATTCTGCTGCTCTTATTTTGAGTAACCCATCCGTTGGTTCGTGAGATATTTTGCTAACAGACACAGGAACCATGCTGACCTGCTGCCTTTAAAGGAAACATCTTGTTCGTCTTCCTGCAGGTGGAGCGTCCGTCTTTCTCCATCGAGTCTCTCAGGAGACGGACGGCAGACTCAAAGGTGGACGTCCTCGCACTGAAGGGTAAAAGTTTGACAGACTTTTATTTTGGCGGTAACAGAAGGAAGCTGAGCTGACTCTAAACAGTCTGGTTCCTCAGGTCTGAAGGCTCAGCAGGAGCCCACCCTCACCTGCGAACTCTGCGGGAAGGTGGACTTCGCCTACATCTTCAAAAGGTCCAAGAGGTTCTGTTCTACACTTTGTGCCAAACGGTGGGTCTCACGGTCCAGGCCTCTGGTTTCAGCTCGGAGCAGAATCAGAACCGGTCCCGGTTGTTAAAGACAAACGTCTCCTCCTCAGATACAACGTGGGCTGCACCAAGAGGATGGGTCTCTTCCCGAACCGTAAAACCATCCTGGAGAACCTGAAGAAGCACCGAGTCCTGAACGGGAACCACAAGACCACCAGCCTGGAGTCCAAAAAGAAGGTGGGATGGCGGCTGGGGCTTTTATTCACAAACACGACTCGTTGAAAGGACTGTTAAATTTCCTGTGACATAAATATCCTTCAAATACAAAAAATAAATACAAGAAAACATCTTTATCTCTAAGAAAATTGACACAATACACATAATTTTACCAATTTTCTTACATAACTGACGGATTTTCTTTTGAATTTGGCTCAAAGTGAAACAGGAAGTGACATCAAAGGGGAACCCCCTGGTTTTTGTTTATTAAAACATTTTTATTTAAACTCTGACTCTTCGTCTCTGATAAACTCAAAATAAAGAAACATCAGATTCTTCTCTACAGTCTGTGTTGCATCGCTCTGTTTACATGCAGACATTCCCCTTTGACATCACTTCCTGTTTCACTTTGAACCAGATTCAAAAGTAAAAAGGTCAGTTATGAGACAAAATGGGTAAAATCTTGTGTATTATGCCAGTTTTCTTAAGTATAAAAATGTTTTCTTTAACTTTTTGTATTTGAAGGTCACAGGTACTTTAAAGTTTGGACTCTTAAATTAAAAATGTTTTATTTGAATAAAAAAAGAAAGTTGTAACTAAACCTTTTTCACCTCCGGTGTTCAGAAACCTCCTCCTCCCCCGGCGGCGGCGCCCCCTGCTGGCCACTCGGTGCACCCGGCACACGGAGAGTCCAGTCAGTGCTCAGACCTGTCCCCGTGGTTCCAGAGTCAGGACTCGGACCTGGCCCTGCCGCCCCACAGCTTCCTGCCCAGCGACCCGGCTGGGTGGGACATCGAGGACGTGTACGAGTTCATCTCCTCGCTGCCAGGTGGGCGTGGCTCTTCAGCAGCAGGTACGTAGAGGCGGTTGAGGGCCGACGCTGAGCTTCCTCCTGTGGCTGCAGGCTGTCTGGACATCGCCGAGGAGTTCCGCTCGCAGGAGATCGACGGCCAGGCGCTGCTGCTGCTGAAGGAGGACCACCTCATGGGGACCATGAACATCAAGCTGGGCCCGGCCCTCAAGATCTTCGCTCAGATCAGCGTGCTGAAAACCCTGTAGCTGACCCGGACACCTCTCAGACCCGGTCCCGGTTCAGACGAGACACGCTCAGGATGTCACGACCCGCTGACCTCACCTCAACACTCTGGAAACGATCCGGTCCAGGTTCGGAGGGAAACCACGTGTTTGTAGAAGACGTGTAGCTTTTATAGTTCCTCACTGCGTCACCGGACCCCAGGTTTTCTCCTGGTTCCAGGTCCAGGACTTCAGAACTGCTTTATCAAATCATTACACTGAGTCCAGGAACAGAACCGAACCATGTCAGAACCAATCAGGTCAGTCCAGACCGGGCCCAGGAACAGAACCGAACCACAAAAATAGTTTCTAAATTATAAAAAAAAAACAATTTAAATTATTTTTCAACATTTCAAACTTGAGAAAAGTAAAGCATCAGTTTCATCTGAAGTCCTGGACCGGTTCTGTTCTGGACCACAAACCTGAGAGAAAACCTTGGGTCCTGACAGGAAATGTTTTAGTCAGAACCACTGCTGAAAGTCCGATCACACAAAACCAGAACCGCTCTGCACCAGGACCACTGGGATTTACTTGAACAGAACCACTGAATGGACGTTTCCCGGGCTTTCTGTAACTGTTGAGTCTCCCTGCAGCTCTGGGTCAGCCCAGCTCAATCAGCTGCTGGGTTTTTGGGCGATCATGTAGAGTTTATGCACACAGGAAGTGACGTCGTCCAGGTGAGCGTTTGTTCTGTTGAAACTCTGACCAAAGCCCAGTAGAACCAGAACCGCTCTGCTCACACCTTCATTTGTACATTTCTGTTCTTTAAGATGTTTCWTTTTTACACAAAGTTTTAATAAAAGTTTTAGATGAAATTCTTTAAGATGTGGTTCTGAGCTTCAGATCTTTTTAAATTCTTTTATCAGGACGTTTAAAACACAAGAAAACCCTGAGAAACAAACTAATAAAGAGAACAACAATAATTCTCACATCAATTCAAAGATTTATTTTCCCCAGAATTAAAACCATTTCATCACAAAACATTGAAGAAAGAAAGAAATCCCTCTGACTGCAAACTGAATAAATTAATAATCATTAAGGCACTCAGTAGTTCAACAACAAACCAACATCCTAACAGAGCAGCTGATTGGCTCAAACATTTAAATCCTAAATGTGTTTCAGCTGGAATAAACTTCTTTTATTGTGAAATTTCCTTCTTTACAACCCTTAATGTATTTATGAATACTGACAGAATTGTCCCTAAAAACCCAAACAACAATGTGCTCAAATCAGGAGAAAATGTCTCGTTCTAACTTCAGAAACAAACATATTTAAAGTCTTTAATTGTTGGTTTTATTATCCAAACTCCTTTGTCAGGTTTTCATGTTTAATTCCATCTGGTTTTAATAAAACCTTAAAATTTCTTTTGTTTCTGATGTGAAGAAAAAATCTGCTGAATGTGAGAGGATTGGTTTAAAATAAAACTTAAATTAAAATCTAAAATGGGTTTAAAGGAACTCGAGTCACAAACTAAAATGATCTGACAGGTGACGTTTGGTTTAAGTGTTTGACTAAAACATTAAAGTTTATATTAATAAAGTTGCTTTAATGCTTCAGATTTATGTTTTAAAATCAGAGTGTTTTTATTTGACTTTAATAAAAAAATTAGGCAGATCTGAACCAGTTTTTAAATTATTATTCATCAGCGGGGTTTTTTAGCAGCTGTTGTCTGATTTGCACGTTTGTGACGACCTGTTTATTTATTTTAACGTGTTAAAAACTGCAGACAGGACTTCTGCAGGTTCTAAAGTCTCCTTCATGAAGAGCTGCAGCTAAATCAAGGCTGGATTAAGACTTTTGCACGGATGAAAATGAAACGTTGAATCAAGTGAAGATTTTTCCCATCAGGCAGAAGTTTGTTTTTATTTTCAGAACAGCTGTTTGGTTCTGGTTCTGGACCGGCTCCAGAGTCCAGCTGCACATTCAGTCCAAACAGCTGCTGTTCTGGAGTCATTTCAGCTCATCATCATCATCATCATCATCATCATGGTTCTGGGGGTTATTGTGGTTAAAAGTGCAGGCAGGTGGTTAAACAAGCACCAGCAGGTCCCCCCGACCCCCCAGCTGCACCTGAGCTCATGCAGAATCCAACGAGTCCCGGCGGTCCTCCTCACGTTTACCAAAGACCTGCTGGAGTCAGAGGGAGGTTAGAACCTCTGAGGAGGAGGAGGGAGAAAGATGGCTGCCATCAGCCCCCAGCTGGCCATGCACCAGAGGCCCCGCCCCCCCAGCAGAGACCAACAGGTGGACATGCTGAGTCAGGAAGAGACAGAGCTGCAGATTTGTTGTTAATTTAATCAAAAACATCGTGGGAAAAAAAGACATAAAAATGAACAGAAGCAGAAAAACACTCAACCTGCAGAACCAGAACCAGAACCTCTTGTTTGTGTTTACAGATGAGCTCAGATCTGTTTGAAACCTTTAGTTAAATAATAAAAAAAGTGACAGAAACAAGCTGAAAATGAGAAAAACTCCTGTTGAGTCGACGTCTGTTTCAAATGTTTTCATCTTTTATTCTGATGTTTAAATTAAAGGTTTTGAATTTAAGCTTCAGATTTAATAGTTGTGATGTCATCAACACGTCTGATCAGCTGTTTAAAAACAAACAAAAGTCCTGATCCAGCTCACCTTGATTTTAAGTTTCTTCACTATACTTTGTGTTCTGTTAGCAAAATATCTCATGAACGCCTCACATGAATAAAACTGAAGGGATGTTTGTGAACAGCTGATTTAAGTTTTTAAAAATCTAATTTAATCAGTTTTTCAGACAGAAGTGCAGTTTGGTGTGGTGGTAGCTCATCACGCTCTCTGAGGACTGACTGGTCTCCAGCGGTTCTGTTCTGAGGTTTGGTTTTTAAATCGTCCTTCGAACTCCTTTAGATTAAGTTTGTTTCTGTAAAAACACAACTAAACGTCTGATTTAATGTCAGTTCTTTGAGTTTTCTGGTTGATTCCTTCGGATTCAGGAAGCTTTTTGTTCCAGAATGAGTCAAAGATCGAAGGAAAGGGACTCAAAACAAAGAAAAGTCTGGAGAACTGTTGATCCAGACCCTTTAAAGTGCCTGTGACTTCATTGTTTTGTAATAAATACAAATTCATTTTTGGAAAAGATAAGAATATACTGCAAAAAAAATTTGACGTAGCTGAGATGAACAGTTGTTGAGATATTCACATGTGAAGTAGCAGGAAGTGATGTCATAGGGGAATATCTGCATGTGAACAGAACTCTAGATTTTAAGTTATTATCAAAGTTGAAATAATTTCAATAAACAAGAGTTTTTTTAGAGTTCCCCTTTGATGTCACTTCCTGTTTCATTTTGGCTGAGCCAAGTTCAAAAGAAAATCTGCCATTTTTGTAACAAAATGAGTAAAAGTGTGTGTATTGTGCCAAGTTTCTTAAATATAAAGATGTTTTCCTTGACGTTGTGCATTTGAAGGACATGACTGTCACGGGCACTTTAAAGGACTACAGGAAGTCTGGACCATTAGAACTTTTGCACAGAACTGAGGTAAAGCTGACAGAAACTAATGTTTGATCTTTGTAGAGGATCAAAAACATTAAAAACAGAAACTTGTGCTCGTTCTCCCACAGCGATCAGTGTTACATTCCACAGAGCGAGACGTTAGCAGGCCAGCTGAGCCACGGGAACCTTTTAGCTCAGGTTGGGTTTTAAACCTGCAGCTGCAGAATCACTCAGTAAGAAAGGAAAAAGCTGCAGAACACCCGCTCCAAACCCTCACAGAGAAGCAGAGGTGTGACGAGACGCTTCACAAACCCAGCTGATCAACTGTCCTCTGCAGGGACCCTGACCCCCCCGTGTCCAGCCCTGGTCCTCGAGGACTGCCGTCTGAAACGTTTTAGTGGTTTTCCTGCTCCAGTTCTGCAGCAGCAGAAAAATCACTCATTTATTCGAACAGGAGAGTCGCAGCAGAGAAACATCAAACTTTTTACATTTGAGACGTTTCTGAGTCTGAGGCGTGCAAACTCCCAGAACAGAGTGAAACTCCTCCATGTTCTGTTAAATAAGACTTTTATTATTATGAAGCAGTATGAGGGACAAAAAGATTATTGCACAACCAGCAGTTACTACATCCTTGTAGCAGGAGGAGATATCTATTCATCAACCAGCTGTTGATCTGATTAATGATAGGCTGACTCCACTAACTGAGCAGCTGGAGCTGGTAAATAAGGAGACTATTCATTTGTGTTAGCGTCAGACAGGCTAGTGGCTAGCATGGATAAGCTTCTTCGATGCTAACAGCAGCTAATCCATACTAGACGCTAGCCTCTCCAATGCTAACGCCAGCTTATCCATGCTAGTCACTAGCTTCTTTGATGCCAACGCCAACTTATCCATGCTAGTCACTAGCTTCTTTGATGCCAACGCCAACTTATCCATGCTAGTCACTAGCTTCTTTGATGCTAACACCAGCTTATCCATGCTAGTCACTAGCTTCTTTGATGCTAACACCAGCTTATCCAAGCAGTCACTAGCCTCTCTGATGCTAACACCAGCTTATCCATGCTAGTCACTAGCCTTTCTGATGCTAACACCAGCTTATCCGTGCTAGTCACTAGCCTCTCTGGTGCTAACACAAATGAATAGTCTCCTTCTCATTTACCAGCTCCAGCTGCTCAGTTAGTGGTGTCAGCCTATCATTAATCAGATCAACAGCAGGTTGAGGAATAGATATATCCTCCTGCTACAAGGATGTAGTAACTACTGGTTGTGCAATAATCTTTTTGTCCCTCATACTGCTCCATATATTATAACAGAAGTTGTTGCTCACACTGATGAAGAACTTCGTGGCGTTTTAGTCTGGAGAGATCTCGTCACACCCCTACAGAAAGACTGAACTGAGAGGAGGAGGAAACGTTTGTCTCTCAGAGGGACAGCAGTCTCTCAGAGGGACAGCAGTCTCAGAGGGACAGCAGTCTCAGAGGGACAGCAGTCTCAGAGGGACAGCAGTCTCAGAGGGACAGGAGCAGATCAGGGTTATACCTTGCTCCTGAAGAGGGGCTTGGCTCCCGGGCCGCAGTACTCGTTGTAAATGAGTTTGAAGAGGAAGAGGTGGAAGAGGATGATGAGCGAGGCCACGCTGAACCAGAAGAGGAAGGGCAGGCCCGGGTACCTGTTGGCCATGTGCTCCTCGTGGGCCAGGATGCCTTTGAGGTGCAGGGTGTGGTGCAGGTCCTGCAGGTGCTGCAGGTCGGAGGAGATGTAGAGCAGCGGCGTGAGGGGCTGCGTCACCATGACGGGGAAGGTGTGACCTTTGACCTCCGAGGTCAGCTCCACGGGCTCGTTGAGGCAGCCCGCCTCGCAGGCGAACAGCTTGTTGGGCGTGTCCTGCTGCTTCATGGACACGTGGAGGAACGGCTTCCCCTCGCCGTCCAGCAGCACCGCCAGGTTGATCAGGTCCCGGTTGTAGTGGATCCCCCTCAGGGAGTAGCTGTTGTGCAGCACGTCGGGGTCCGCCTGGAACTGCAGGTGGTTCTCGGTGAACTGGAGGCCGCCGAAGCTGAGCACCATGCCCTGCATGGCCCCGTGGGCGCCGGCCGCCACCAGGACCTTGCAGCCCCTCTTCTGCAGGGTCAGGGTCCACAGGGTGACCAGCTGCAGGATCTGAGCGGTGCTGCTCACCCGGCCGGGCCACAGGTTCTCGGCGTGCATGGTGGCGTGGCCGCTGAAGCAGTGGTCGGCGTAGTTGAGGCTGGACTCCAGGCGGACGCGCTCCTCGCTGCTCAGACGGTCGTCCAGCAGCGGCGCCGCCGTGGAGGACAGGATGTAGTAGAGCGTGGTGTTGACCGTACGGCTGGAGGGAGTGTGGGAGTCTGTGATCCTCCTCATCTCAACACCTTCAACACACAGGATTATTGAGTAATGATTAGTTTGAAACAGACCACATGCAGAACTACAAACACAGAGATCCTTCTAGTTTTTAAAGCAAACAAACACTTCCTGCTTTATCTCAGTTTTACGACTTTCAGAATCAATGATTGACAAAATGACATGACAACAATGTTAGAAATAAAACAGTAGACAGATGACTTTTTGTAGCCTGGCCCTGGCTTTCCTACGCAGCTCCGCTCAGTTCTAGTTTCCTTCTCTGCTCCGTCTGGGACTCCTCCCATTCAGACGGATTTCACTGATTTTTAGCCGAACCAATCAGAGAACAGAACGTGAATTTTCTGCACAGCGTCTCTTGTAGTTTATTTTACCTGGGCCAATCAGAGAACAGAAGGAGGAGTTTTTGAATGACATCGATGTTCTGCTCAGTGTCTGCTAGTTATTTTAGCATACAGCAGTGGAGGAAGTGAATGAAGCCAGTCTGTGTTGATAAGGCTTCAAATTAAAATAAATTTATTCTGACAAAGCAGCAACTCTCATTTACAGTCGTCTTCTTCAGCTCGGTACATTTCTCCTCTCAGTAGGGTTGTTTACAGTATACATGACATCCGGTTAGCTTCTTAGCTTAGCCTCCTTCACACCGACAACACACACASGCTTCAGCAGAGGCCACGCCTCCTGCAAGAAACGCTTCTCTATGCAGCAAGTCCAGACCCTCGTACGAAGCAAAGTGAAGGACAGAGTCTGGTTCTAACCAGGCTAGCCTTTTTGCTGCTGAAAATTATGTTGATGAAAGTTAAACACTTTGTTGTGTTCCTCCAACTCTCAGTACCCCCTGCCCACCTCAGCACCATGGGGAGCAGAGCTTTCAGCCGCTCTGCTCCGCAGATCTGGAACTCACTACTGCACAGATTACGCAATACCACCGCCCCCCACCCCCGGTTTAAGACCTGAAGACACATCTTTTCAAATTAGTCTACATCTGTTAACTCCGATCTTCAATATGTGTCTGTTTTGTTGTCCTCACTTCGATGTTTCTCCCCCACAACCCTATTGTTCAATTTGTCTGCATTATTGTATTTTATTATACGACTGTTCTGTACTCCACATTTCTGTTTCTCCCACACTACCTTATGTATATACATCTACATTTTTTTCCTCTATTGTACAGTGTCCTTGGGTGTCCTGAAAGGCGCTTTATAAATAAAATGCATTATTATTATACTTCAACGTACCTGTGACATGCTTAACCTTCAAATACAAAAAGTGAAAGAAAACATTTATATTTAAGAAAATTAGCATAATACACATAATTTTACCCATTATACCTCATAACTGGCATATTTTCTTTTGAATTTGGATCAGCAAAGTGAAACAGGAAGTGACATCACAGGGGAACTCTAAGAAAAGAAACTCTCTGGTCTTTGTTTATTGAAACAATCTTATTTAAAYTCTTCTTCAACTCTGATTGTGACTCAAAATAAACTAAAGAAACATCAGATTATTCTCTAATTATTGTAGCATCGCTCTGTTAACATGCAGACACCCCTCTGACATCACTTCCTGTTTCTTCACATGTATACATCTCAACTGTTCATCTCAATGGCGTGAAATTTGTTTTGCGATGTTATCAATGTTCTATTTCCAAAAACTCATTCACATTTATTACAAAAATTTGATGTCATAGGCACTTTAACTGCCTTTTTTTTTTAAACAAGCTAAACAATTTTTGCTTTATAATCGACAAACAGTTTAGCTGATAAGTTTTGGGTCATGATAACCTTAATTCTTTTTAAATAATGAATGCAATAACATTTTCTTAAGAGTGGTGACTATATTTTCCTGTTCTTTACCTAATAATTAAAAACGGGAAAGTTTTAACAAAAGGATCAGGTAGGGAGATGATAAAATAGTTATATTCCTGTGTAAAGGTTCTGAGTTGTGCCCATACTTGAATAAGATCACTAGACTGAGCCCCGCCCACACAGGTAGTGTCTGTGACATCATGGAGGAGCAGAAACAGACCAAACAGGACAACAGCTCACAGCTAAACTAATAGATAAACAGCAGCTGAACTGGATCTGTTTCACACATTATCGGTCATGTTTTTACAATAAATTAATAACTATGTTAATTTCATTCAATCATGTAAAACAGCAGATTTATACCAGAAATATATATAATTTATAAGTAACAATGATCTAAACCAGACCTGAAGTCAGCCTGTAACTTAGCCTTTAGCTAGTTGAAAAATGATGACTTCAGCTAATAATAAAGTATATTT